GCGTTGGCTTTACTGTACAGCTATAGCATCCTCCTCACTCACGTATCAAGGCACATGTCTTTCTTGTAAGGCAGAATCATCCCTACCCAAACCATCCTATAGAAATCAGTGTCATCAAGGTTAGGTTATCAATGGTCTCCTGTTAAATGGGAGGACATATCTAGTGGGTTTCCATAAGGATCTGCCTGGACCCAAATCTATTTAATGGTTGCATTAAAGACCAGGATGATGGCACGGCATCCCTGGAATACTGTGTCCAGTGTGGGGCACTGTACTTAAGGGCAGTGTAGGTTGGGTAGCTTAGAAAAGAGAAGAAGGGCATGCAGGTTAGACCCACCACTCTCAGGGATGATCTTGGTAGACGTAATCCTGCCTCCATCCCAGGGGTTGGACTAGGGTCAGTGGCTCCATGCCTGGTTGGCTCACAACCCCCCCATCCTGTGTGGTCCGAGTCTGACCACTAAAACTGCATTTCTGTGGGGCTCAGGTCCCGCTTATTAAGAGCTCTTTGGGGTTCTGACCCCGTGACAAACTGTGCAAGGCTGGTGAGATATCCTGGTGCCCCTCTACAGCGCTCCAAGCTGCTCTCCGCTGTCCTGCTGTGTCTGCAGAGAACAGATCAGATTGGTAACTCCTTATTCCAGCAAGCCTCCATCACCCTCCCACCTGCCCCTCACCCCAAACCAGCAGAGCAAGTTTGCCAGCATAAGGGGTGTTGACCCTTTAGTTTACTAAATACTATACAGATGATAGCATTATAGAGAAGTCAGTCTAGAAGGGACCTCCAGAGGTCATCTAGTTTACTCCTGGCCTGAGGCAGAGTCACTCCTCTCCAAACCTTATACAAATCCATTTTCTAGCCTCTTAGTAAAACTCCAATCAACCCCGATGCAGCACAAGACATAACACCCGAACCTGCCACAGGTAAAGCAGGGGAACCACGGCAGCTGACGTCTTGCTTGTGTAAAAGATTCCTAATACACTCTCAAGAGATCCCATAGATTCATAGATGTTAGGGGTTGGAAGGGACCTCAATAGATCATCGAGTCCGACCCCCTGCATAGGCAGGAAAGAGGGCTGGGTCTAGATGGCCCCAGCTAGATACTCATCTAACCTCCTCTTGAAGACCCCCAGGGTAGGCGAGAGCACCACCTCCTTTGGGAGCCCGTTCCAGACCTTGGCCACTCGAACTATGAAGAAGTTCTTCCTAATGTCCAGTCTAAATCTGCTCTCTGTTAGCTGGTGGCCATTATTTCTTGTACCCCCCGGGGGCGCCTTGGGGAATAAATACTCACCAATTCCCTTCTGGGCCCCCGTGATGAACTTATAGGCAGCCACAAGGTCACCTCTCAACCTTCTCTTGCGGAGGCTGAAAAGGTCCAGGTTCTCTAGTCTCTCCTCGTAGGGCTTGGTCTGCAGGCCTTTAGCCATACGAGTGGCCCTTCTCTGGACCCTCTCCAGGTTATCTGCATCCCTCTTGAAGTGTGGCGCCCAGAATTGCACGCAGTACTCCACCTGCGGTCTGACCAGCGCCCGATAGAGGGGACCAGGTAGAGGACTATGCCCCGCTCTACCAAGGAAGACAAAAACCTCCCCAGTTTGTACCAATCTGACTATGGGGTAAAAGTCCTTCCTGACCCCAAACGTGGCATCGCTCTGACCCTGAGCAGAGGGGCAAGACCCTCTAGCCGAGAACCTCCAGCTCCATTTCCCTGCAGGACTACTGGCACATCCCAGCCTGGGCTGCAGCCAAGATCCTCTTCCACAGAAGAGAAATGCCTGTAATTATCAATTACTCTGAAAATCACCATCACCACCGCCAATCAGCATGGCATATGGAACTGAAAAAAAGATTTCTTAAGCAAACAAAACAGATCATACAAAAATGTTGCTGCAGGTTGGGAAATGGGATGTGAAGACCTAAGCAAGGGGAGACTGAAAAGCATCTCGCCCTGCTTTCCTTCCTAGAAAGCAGCCCCATCCGCTCTGACTACTGAATGATCCCTCTGCCACCCTGGTCTGCATTTCCGGTCAGCAGCTTCTCTGCTGAACC